TGGTGTTTGTGTGAATGACACTGTGCACCTTCTAAATATGTTATTTAAAAGTTGCTTGTGATTGGCTTTGGTTCATCATGTGGCTTTCTCATCACTACCTGCATTTGGTGGTTATCAGTGTATTACGAAGGTACAAAACAGAATTCAGTACTTCAATAGGTTGGTATATTAACATTATATCAGTTAATGAAATCCCGGTATTAAACTGTAAATTTAAGTTAAAACCATAAAACCTAAAATGTTGCTACCGTATTTTTACGGCATAATTCCGGCAACCACAGCTGCCGTTTTTTTTACCGTAAATTTTACGGATTTTTTTTACAGTGTACGTTTTTTTGTTTTTTTTTGCCAAATTGATTAGCCCTGCATCTAAAAAAATTTTGTGCGAAATTATGCAAAAATACATATTATGAGAATGAACACACACACACACACACACACACACACACACATTCCATAGGCGTAATGGTTTTTATACTGTACAAACTGTATGTGCTATTGCCCTACATCTAAACCTACCCCTTACATGAAACTTTCTGCATTTTTACAATTAAAAAAAAAATTGTTCACTTTATTTTTATACCAGTTTTACAAATGAGGACATCCCCAAAGGGAGGTTTTTGGAGATTTTGTCAGGTTTTGCTCACTTTTGGGTACAAATTTGTCCCCAAAATATGGTTAAGTAGGTACACACACACACACACACACACACACACACACATATATACTGTACATATTAGATTTAATGCACATTTAACTTACAGTCTGCAAATAAGTGGAACAAATATGTTAATTCCATTTAATATCAATGAACTTCACATCAACATAAATGTATAAATAAATAAGCTGTTTTTCACAATATGTTTTCCTGCTATTATTTGGATGCAGTAAAGCACCACCCTCAGATGTTGCCGAAGACGTCTGGTTCATGTTTGTATTTTCTTCTGTTATTTGGCCTTTTAACCTTAAAATCAGGATTAGACAGAAAATAAAGTCTTTAGAATCATTCATACATCTGAAACATACATTAATACCTGGCTCAGTGGAAAAATGGTTGTCAAAAGCAGAAATGCTATGAAATGCATCATGATTTGGGAGAAATTATGATGTACTAGAGCAACTTTTGTACTAATTTATAATAAATAGCTCAAAAATAGTGAGAAACAATAGGCCTTCATTTAGCAAATATGATGCAGGGTAGTGTTATATGAGTATATTCAGGGGCAATTGTAGGATTTTATGCCATTAATATTTCCTGCTCATGCTTTTAATCTAATGCCACATCCACTATAATAGATTATTACAATTTTAAATATATTTTATATGTATATTTATATTTAGTATGTCTTTACCAGTTTCGGTAAACAACTTCAGTGTGATAAAATGTAAAAGTGGATGGGAAACAGTTTGTAATTGCTGATACAACAATAGCGGCAACATAACTGATGAAAATAATAGCAACACTTACCAGCCAGACTCCATGAGTACAAACAGATGAAAAGAAGCCGAACACGAAACAGATTCACAACAGAACAGTCATAATAATCAGGTCCTGACACAGGTCTGGAAAATGTTCAATGTTTCGTAACAAAGTGAATAAAGCTGTCAGTTTGTAGTGAAGCTCTGCAGTGAGCGTGAATAAACTCCTCCAGAAGCTCCTCCCTTCAGAGACTGAACATGACTTTGATCTACAGAAAGAAGGCAATAAAAGGTAAACTCTTTCTAAAAACATACTTTTAGGATTTTCTATTATTAAAACAAATATGAACCTCCAAATGTGAAGGCCAGTGGAAAGATTCATGAGCTGAACTCAATCATCCAGTGGGTTCTCAGGGAATAACATGAAGCAATATGGGAATATATACATTTCAGTTTTTTTTATTTAGAATATGGTTAATAAAAACAGTAATAACAACAGTAAAATTGCAATACTAATATTTAATCTGTCTTCATTTTTCTATTTATTATGAAATATGTTTTTTATTTTTATATAGCTTTTTTCCTTATTGAGTTAGCTTTATTTATTTGTTTATTTATACTTTCAGGATTTAAATTATAGAACTTTTATTTGTGGTGGGAAACGCAGGGAAACATAAAAGATTCTCTTTTGTTGAAAACATTTTTTTAAACGATTCCCTTTATAAACTTGGAAAGATGGTTGGTGTTTTCAAATGTAAAAGTAAAACTTACAGCCCTTGCATATTGTGGTTCTGCTGTGGCTTTTTTTCAGAACTATGCAGCAAAAACGTACTATTAACTTGTTTATTGAAGTGATAAACAATCTATATAAATCAATGTTATAAAATTAATATTACAAAACGGATAGTTCCGGTCCTTGATTCTGATTGGTTGAGCCAAGTTCGAAGCTGTTGTACATTACTCTACAAACATACACATTTGGTAGCTTATTGCTTTATCACATTTACAATCATGCTCGAAATAATGGAAAAATTGAAATATAGTAATAATATAGTGTTCATTTCAGACACTGGAGTGCATCAATCAAGATCCAAAAGAAATGATATAATTGAGAAATACATTTTAACAATGAAAAAACATTGCAACATTGTGAAATTATTAAAATGTTAGAAAAGTCAGTATAAACTGTGCTTATAAGCATAAATTATTACTGAAATAGGTCTGTCTGTGTGGGAGGTGCTACTGATGGGGTTTCTTCACACTCACTGAACCACTTTAATACAACACATTTGACGTGTTCAAGAGTGTCAGGACATGATCATTGTAGCAGTTCTGTTGCAAACTGTTTGGTGAACTGCTGGGGAAAAAAATATGTTGTGTCAGTGATGGAGGGAGATTCTGTCACTCTAAACACTGATCTTACTGAAATACAGAGAGATGATCTGATAATGTGGAGATTTGGACACATTCTCATCGCACAAATTAACAGAAAAAACAATAAGAGCATAGTTTATGATGATAAAGCCGGTGAGAGATTCAGAGGCAGACTGAAGCTGGACAATGAGACTGGATCTCTGAGCATCACAAACACCAGAACCACAGACTCTGGAGTTTATAAAGTAACCAGCATAAGATCAGAGACACCGCTCAACATCTTCAGTCTTACTGTCTATGGTGAGTAGAGGATTTTGTACTGTATTGTAAAATGATAGAAGATTAATTGTAAAAACTCATTCATGCATTTCAAGCATTGTTATAATTAATTATTTTAATAATCAACATTTTATAATCATGTTATTTCTTTAATACTTTACATCAGTTTTAAAAATCAACGAACTGACAAATATCATAGGTCTCCTATTTATTGAATTTGATTTATTTTCCAATATTTTGAAGCTCGTCTGCCTGTTCCCGTCATCAGCAGAGACTGTTCATCATCATCATCATCATCATCATCATCATCATCATCATCATGTTCACTGTTGTGTTCAGTGGTGAATGTGAGTCATGTGACTCTCTCCTGGTACAAAGGAAACAGTTTATTGTCCAGCATCAGTGTGTCTGATCTCAGCATCAGTCTCTCTCTACCTCTGGAGGTGGAATATCAGGAGAAAAACACCTACAGCTGTGTGCTCAACAATCCCATCAGCAACCAGACCACACATCTGGACATCAGTCAACTCTGTCAGCCATGTTCAGGTATGGCATCATACTATATTTTTTCCACAAAACTAAATTAATCATATTTCTGTTTCAACATTGTTAATTTATTTTCTCAGAAGTCTGTATCTGCTGCTGTGGTTCTACTGAAGCTGTGATCCGATTGGCTCTCTCTGCTCTGGTGTGCGTGGCTGTTGTTGCTGTGCTGGTTTATGACATCAGATCCAGAAGCCTTCAACAGAATAGAAGAAAGAATACAACACCATCTGATTAATCAGATACTCGGGAGAGTGGAGATGCTCTTGAATTGCTTTGAGTATTTATCAATGAGTAAATATCATTTATGAATAAATGTAATTTAAGTGATTAAGAACTCATTTTATTCAATCTAAATGCCCATTTTAATAGAAAAAAATACAGTGTAGATTTTAGCTATACATTTTTCACTTCCATTGTGTTTGTATTTACAATACAAATCGTTCTGCTTTACAAAGAATTGTGCCTTAAAGGGATAGTTCACCCAAAAATTTGCTGTTAATTTACTCACCCTCAAGATATAAATGGAGAGTGAGGACTCACGTGTTTTATTGTCAGAAGGGTGGACTACTCTGCTTTTGAAGCCAAACTGGTTGTTGTCAAGTTGCTTTAGGAGAGAAAAAAATCAGCAGAGAGCTGATTGAACACAACTCTTTCAAGAGTTTTTGACAGAAAAGGAAGAAGAGAGATTGGTTTTTAGTTTTATAACTGCTGATTGAATGTTAGATTCTGAACAGTGGGGATACCAGAGGCTGCTTAAATATGTTAGGAATGTTCCCATTAGGGAGGAATGTGTTGAAAATATGAGGGTGGGCAGCAATGTTGGTGAGATCTCCTGTGGTAAGTGAGAGGGAGTATGGGTCTTATGGACAGGTTGAAGGACAGCTGGCACAGAAAGCTTTGGAGACCTTGTTCTCTGTAACAGGAGAGAAGTAAGAGAGGAAAGTGTGTGGGTAGAGGTTAGCTGTTGACACTTCATCTCTTTCTCTCACACGTTTACATACAAAAAATATCTGCACCTTTTTTTGTCACTTGTGGCTCCTGAAAGCTTCCGTTTCGGTGAACGTGATTTCATGTTCCTGGATCAACTGTAAACCTGTAAAATTTTTCAGATTGTTGTTTTGAACTCATCTGTCTTGCTGAAAAGCTTTTCATGTGGTAAGTCAGTCAACTGACGCAGCTGATGTTGGTGGTTTAGTTCAGTGGCTTCCAACCATGTTCCTGGAGCTCCCAACACTGCATAATTTGCTTGTCTCCTTATACTGTGTTGGGGCTGATTTAGTTGGACTAGTGACTAAACACAGACTAAACCAATGATTTTAACAGCTGAACACAATGAAGATACTTGATCAGACCAAACATCTATGGATCAATATATTTGAGAAAACTGATGGGGTTTAACCGCCATGAATGCAACGTGTTAAAATAGTCATGATGAGCGATAAAGATCAAATTAAGAGCAGAGTGGAATATAAACTGAAGGGACTAAAGTTCACACATTTATTTGATTGTTATCAGCTTTTTTCTTCATTTCACACTATAAGTGATTTTTTTTCCCACTCGTGATCAACATCTTCCTGAGCTGTTCAACAGATTGTTTTCAATGGAAACACCCACAGCCACAATGAGATTAATGTTAAAGATGTAAGAACACTTTTAAGATGTAAACTTCCCTAAAATTATACCACTTGAGTGTTTTTCAAGTCATCTGTCTGTCTGCATGAAGGTTAAGTTGTACGAATTCATGAATGAACCACTCGTTTTAAAATCTTCCCGTCTACTGACATTTGTTATGACACCGGTCCCTCGACTTCAATTTTTTCCTGCCTGCAAACAACCCATGACAGTCTATTTTTTTAAAGGTCAACAAGAGTTAGTCAGAACAATGTAAGGAATATATGAGGCATCTTTTTTATTATTGTACAAAAGGACACATAAAGTAATAAAAAAAATGAAATATATCTTGCATATAACTTTTAAAGAATTTTATTCTACAAAATGCCATAGCAAGAGAGAGCTGTTAGTGAAATAACATGTTCATCTAGCAGGCCGAGCTTTAACAGACCCCCCTGTATTATCAGAGATATGCAGGACTGACAAAATTATTGAATCTGTTTTAAATCAATACAAACATAAATAAATCAAAAACTGCTTCAAAGAATAAGAAATTCATTAATATGACATGATTAACTAATGTCATAATCTTTGACTTTTTGACTTGATTGAATGCCACATTAACATTCATAAACTCAACTTTAAATGACACAAAACTCAAAACCATCCATTTGAAACATGATTGATAATTAATCAGTCACAAGATCAGAACATCAGGTCAGGGTTGCCAAGTGTTCAATATTAGCCAAGACATTTTGTATATGTGAGTGGAAATGCGGTTGGCAGTCTGAGGTTCACAGTTCCTCCCAGAACACCAGCCTCTTAAAAATAAAGGTGCTTCAAAAGTTTATTCAAGCGATGCCATAGAAGAACCATTTTTGGTTCCACAAAGAACCATTCAGTCAAAGGTTCTTTAAAGCACCATCTCTTTCTTACCTTTTTGTAATCTGAAGAACCTTCTTTCGCCACGAAGAACCTTTTGTGAAGCAGAAAGGTTCTTCAGGTGTTAAAGGTTCTTTATGGAACCATTTTATGAAGGTATTTTTGGTGAAAAACAACTGAGTGACCGTGACAGCGGAATTTGTAGTTGTAGAGA